ACAGTCACAATCAGTTTGTTGAAAGTCTCGTTCAAAAGATTTGTAATAAGTCACATAACTTATTTGATACAGGTTTTCATATTAACCAACTTCCCATACTATTCTATTCAATCTATTTACCTACTTGTGTTGAATCGTTTCAGAGACTTTAGAGCTTTTTCAAAATTTCTGAGTTCAACTTCACATTTTATTAGGTGAAATATATGAACCTACCACAAAAGCATAAATATAGATTGGTAAGTTTAAACGATATGCAAGTTATAACTAGATGTTCAATCGGTGACATGTTTAAGGTCAACAAGAACCAGTCAACACCGCGGTCTACAGGACAAGCTATGAATCATATATGGAGAAATTTGAACACTTCATTTCTACCTGAAGTTTGTGCGATTGATGTCGTTCAGAAGAACGATGAAAGCTCCAGAGAAAAAATCCATCAAATATATATATTCAGTCATTTGAAGCGAACGGAACTGGGTTCGAGTCCAAGAGTAAACATCAACTCTGAGATGCAGCTACATCCAGCTGACGAGTCCTAAATAGAACGAAACGCGCGTCCTGAATTTCGGTGCTAGCCACTATCCATTTTTGCTTAGAATGCTTGTGAATCAAGACAATCCACACAGGATGCACATATGCTGATATTATACTGATCAATTGCAGTCTTAAATAACAATAGGAAGACACAAGTAAAACAACATCAAGTGAATTTAATTCACTTGACTGCTTCGAAATCATTGAAAATTAAAATTTGACATTTTCATATGGAACTTCGAAAGGTCTATCCAAAACAATACCATGTTCTAAGAATACCAAATAAAATAAACATATAGACTACAACAGTACTGTCTATAAAATGTTTTACTTCATGATGAAACATAAATATAACACCCATATTTTACATTAACATTCAATTACCTTATTATTATGGATGAATCACAATGTACATTATAATGTTACATAGATTGTTTATGTATTCTTAATAAACCATTGTATGATTTATTCAGATAATTGACAAGTCATTACTGATCTCAATATTCAATTAATTTCTTTTTTTTAAATAATTAATACATATGTCAATTAGATTAAACGTTGTATTCATACAATTTATACAATCACCTATAGCTAAAAGACTATTAATAAATTTAGCTGTATCATTATTTGATTAAAAGTTGTGATATAAATTGCCATACGCCAAAATTAAATAAGTAATATAGTAATATTTAATTTCAAATCGTCTGTACCTTTCTTATTTGTATTAAGATAAAGTAAGATTTAAATATTTGAGAAAGTATTATGAAAAAAAGATGGATAGTGGCCAACAGTGGAATCCAAGATGCGCATTTCGTCCTATTTGGAAATAATCAGCTGGATGTACCTGCATTTCAGAGTTGATGTTCACTGCGGGAGAAAGTATTGTGTGCTGTGGTACTGATGTCGATGGATATAAGTAGTATGTATCATCAAACAAAAGTAAAATACATAGTGGTAAAATGTTAGGAAAATCAAAGAAAAGAGGACGAGAACAAAAAATGTTTGGTGTAGAAATGAAGGTCCAATGAAGTTCGAAACAACTGACTGACAATTTGTAAATGAAGTATTTACTATATGGTTCTCAGATTTTACTAAGATGTTCTGTAATTTTGTATTCAAATACATTCGATTGTCCCCATTTGTGTTCTCGTTCATTCCAGTAATCCGTGAAACAATCGATACAGTACCAAACGTATTTATTACTAATTTATTGATATCAATAATTCCATTTTTTTAAAAAGAAAACTATATCGACTCAGATCCTAAATGAAAATTGCAAAAAATCATCCAAGTTTAAGGCCTTTTAAATGTAGATGAAACGTTACTGACAGTCTGTAACTTCAGTTTTAGTTCCCCAGTTTTTGATAGTACTTACTTAAATATTTAAGCAACTGTCACACATATATAACAATTCTAACAAACTTTGGATCCAAAATCTTCTCCTACTTTTTCTTCTTCGATCTAAGTTACACATTAGAATCTCTTTTCTTTTTCTTTTTTTCGTATCAAGTTATATGTCTTACCATGTTTTATATTTAACATCTTATTAATGTTTTAAATAAAAATAAAATGTTAAAATTATAAATGAACAAATGAATCTCTATAATGAATTAAACAATAATTTATGTCAATAATAAATAGCTGGTTAGCAACTACTTAATACCTGTTAGTAGTTTCCAGAAAGTTTATAATAGAAATTTCAATATTTAAAAAACACTCACAATGGTATTATAGTGTTATTCACTATGTAATTGAAAATTATGTACAATCACTATAAGTTATATGAGTCTTTATTATAATAAGGGAAATGTTTATATTATACTAATTGTTCACACAATTTAATGTATGTATATTTAGTTAATTTTTGATTAATTATGCTTGGAAAAGATTTTATTTTGATTAGTTCGTAGAATGAACATACATTTGATATGATTAGTGGAATAAGTCAACTTACCAACTACTATTCTATAACATAATAATGTAAATCGATGTTTCAATGAAGTTTTATTCTTTGAACTAGATTATTTGGTCGTGAATAGTTGAATACTAGGAAAGTTGTCTTAATTGATACTTTAATTTAGTTTATAAAGTTACATAAATATTTATATCATAATAAAATAGATTCATACTAATTCTATAATGGATTATAGTCTATTTTAAAAGATGTACAAAATTCATTTTCAACAATTATTAACAAAAGTAATCATTTTTTTCTAAGTAAATGAAAAATAGTATCAATATGAATATCAGTACTAGATGTTGATAGATATAAGTAGTATGTAACATCAATAGAAAGTGAAATGATTGGAGGTAGAAGGTTGAGAAGATCAAAGAAAAGAGAACGAGAACAAAGAATTATTGATTTGGAAACGAAATAACAATGAAATCCAAGACAGTTGATTGATATTTTATAAATGAAATATTTACTGTATAGTTCTTAGATTGTATCAAGTGATTCTGCAATCTTGTATTGGAATATGTTTGAATGTTTTCACTTGAATTCTTGTACAATACAATCCAACAGCAAAAACAAGTTCTAGGAATAATTTAGTCGAATATAATCCCATTGAATTTTTCATTGTAAAATTCTGAGTAAATACGTTGTATTTCTATAAGCAAAAACTAAAAATCATTTTGAACCATAAATACTGATTTTGAGTTAGATTTAATAGTACAGTGTAATTTTTCAGTCAGATTATTCTTTAAAATCATGTTTGAAAATTATAAACTCATCATTAAACCATTGGTAATACCAAGTTATATAATAGTGAATAGAACACAAATGGGAACAATCGAATGTATTTGAGGACAAAATCACAAAATCCCTTAGTAAAATCTGAGAACCATAGTGTAAATACTTCATTTGCAAAATGTCAATTAATGATATCAAACTTGACTGTTCCTTCTGTAAAATGCCAATCAATCATCTTAGATTTCATTGTTCTTTCGTTCCCACACCAGCCACTCTTTGTTTTCCTTCTTTTTGTTTCTTTGATCTTCTTAACCTTTTGCCACTATGTATTTTATTTTTGCTTGATGATACTTACTACTTATATGTGCCGACATCCGTAGCTAACACCACGATATCATATCATTGTATCAAAGGTATTTTTGTGCAAATCTTTCCGATTCATAATGAATGACTAAAAGAAACCTTAGATAGCTAAATACTTTGAAGTTTTAAGTATATTTATGCTAATGTTACACAAAATAGTTTCTAAACATTTGGTGATGATGTGCCATTAGACTTTGTATCTTGTTGTAAACTTGGTCTGGTTGTTATAAGTATTATGAAATTACTTTATATGTCTGAAAATTTCGTGGTAAACCTTATTGCTTCTGATGACTTCTATATGTATAATAGTTTGTTCCATTCACAATGGGTGTTTTGACAATAACTTTATTTATTTTAGAGTGGAAGACTATAACTATCACTGAAAATGTATTCCACATTAACTTAATTGATTTACTTTCTTTTGTTTGAACGGCTTTTGAGAATTACTACGGAGGCACCAGAAGCCCTGGAAGCGCCGAAGAGTTTTCATCCAATCAGAACCTGATGCAGCTTTCTAGAATATAAACGTGGTATGCCACTGTTGGACAGTAGCATAACTCGCCTTTTTGCGCATTGGTTGAATTATAATTTTGACATAACACACGCTAGTTACTATAAATATCCATGATTTTCTGTACATTCTAATTCTGAGCCAACAAACACTTCTACAGCTTTCTTCTGTCTTCTGGTTTTGTGACTGTGGGGTTCTCTACGTTCGGGTATAACAATTGTATATCGTATTTTGCATTAATCAAGTGGCGAACATAACATCATTTAACAATAGTAAACTTATATTGAGATTATTAAGATGAAACACTTTCAAAGAGACATTTGAAAAGATAATCCTTTTTTTAATGATGGATTCTGATCAGTAAAATTTATGTCCTTGAAAAGACTTGGAGTGGTTGAGAAAAAGATAAGGTTGCATCATAACGTCTATTATCTGATGACATATACCAAGTGTCAAATCACTGGATGAACTCCAGAGTTCATAACTTTGACCTTACTCTAATCAGAAAGGGATTGTGATTGCATCTTTCATCTTATTTTGCCGATGTATTTAATGCTACCCTATATTCAGAAAATTGATGCTCTACTGAACACTTAGCTACGTTCAATTATTAACTTAAACATTCAGTATGTTTACCGTAGTTCCCATAAAGCTTGTTTATTCGTTGCTAATTAGCCGAAATAAGATGACCCAACAATGCAATAAATACCAATCGTTTCCATTCTAAAGTCATATAATCTCTATCATATAACATTACGTTAAAGTGACAAATAGCTAACTTAACAAGAATAAGACAATCTCATTTTTTAACAATATGGATTTCACTAACTTCTAAGTAATAATGTTAAACAATGATATATCATTATGAATTTGTAATTTTTATTTTCCTCTTTTGTTTAGAAATCTCATGTCCTTCAATTGACTCTATTTCAATTATTTCAAATAAATGTAATGGATATTTAACATGTACTGTTAGTCCAAATCTAGTACTTGAATCATTACATCTAATTAATTCAAGAAAGTCTACTCTTTTTAAACAAATGTCATGTACAAAATCTTATCTATATTTAAGATATACATGTGGTAAGTCATGTTACGGATAACTTAGTTTGTTCTTACTGGTAATTGATCTATTTATTGTATACGTATATAAATGATTATTTTATTTGAAACAATTTTCCATCAATTCACAAACCTGTAGGATTTGAAGAGTAAAGTTTTCAGTACATGAAATAGAGATCAATTGAAAATCAAGAGAAATGGTACATCTGGTCGTTTTTAATCTGACGTCACATAGTATAGTGTACTTTAACATTATTTAATCGAAATATAATTACGTAATCAAAGGTAAATAGCTTCTATGCAATTGGTTCCTTTTCTGAATTCGAACAGAGCCAAAACAACAACTAAGGCAGAAAAATATGAAATGCTTACAACCATATATGTAATGAAAGGTAATATTAAGGTATGATATACTCTGAAACAATTGACGCTGATGAAAAAAGGAACTAGGATGATAAAGATTATCAATATTTACTATCTATATATATGTAGGAACAGATACGAGATCATTTGGAGAAGGAATTCAAAAACTTAGGAGGGTGGATTGAGCAGTAATTAAATGAGGTCTGGAAACACATAACATAGATTGTGTGATAATTAGATAGGTTGTGGAGGATTTACATAAAATTGCTGCAATTAGAAATTGGTAAGATGGATTACATAATAATTGAACAGGATTTGAATTGAATGGAAACCGATGAATGAACGGATAATTTGGTGTATATCAAATAAGAATTAGTTAAGTGAAAACCATACAACGAAATAAACACTGAAAAAATAATTATAATACTGAAAATAGCAATAAATAAATAAATAAAGATTTACCAAGCTAGTGGTAAGCTGATTACTGTCTATTTCTGGATGCATAAATCAGGTTTCAGTTTATTTATTGCTACTGCTTAAGCAAACTGGAGATGGGCTGCCCTTTTTATCTGTTAATAATTCTGAAGCATTGTGAACATGTTCTCTTTTTCAGGTAAGTATCTGACTATCTATCGATTAACTATGACTAGTGGGAATTAACAATTTTCGTATTATGATAGATAACTACTGATGGAAATGTCCTGTTGTTACATCATACAGTGATTTTACTAAATAAAAATATTGACCATTGGATTCAAGCCTTCTACCCTGATGATAACACTCTTGCATTAGACCTGAAGGTCACAGTTACAACTCTTCTAGAGTTCCAAAGTAATAAGAAACAGCCTTTGCCTGGATTTTATTAACTCTTTACCTAATAAAAATCCAGGATATAAATAATCTTCAAAGGTTTAATTTCATCTTCCTAGGCTGAAAATATATCCAAAAGTTTTGTAAAGCACTAGCTTAATTCATTACGTAATTGATTTGTTTTCTAGTGCATAATTTATTGTTGGAAAATACTCTTCGTTCAGAGGATTCAAAGAATTCAATCAAACTTAGAGAAAAACAGACTTTTAAACCAAGGAAGAGACTAAACAAGTCAAGTGGAAACGGAAGGATTAATCATAAAATGAATGATATGAATGTTATATTATTTAATGATAATTTAAGTCTTTACTCTGGTCAAATAGATGTGTCAACTTCACAACTGAATTCTGTGGAACCTAAACCAAGAAGTAGGTTTATCAGAAATAGATATAGACTTTTCTTTTAATCCAGTATGATTTCATCTAAATTAACATGTGTATTTATGATTATCCTTTGTTTATTTTAGCTTGCTGCAGAATGATGAAATATAAAGGATTAAGAGCTTTTGAACTTTAGTTATCTTTGAATATAGTTTTAATAACGGTACTCATTGCTGATGATTCACATAACCAGAACAAAATAAAAGTTTTGTGAAACACAAGCGTTTAATGGTTTTCTGGATGTCACTCGTTGTTAGTATAAATATGTCGATGAAATATGAAGGGTGTTTTGATTTACTCGTGTAAACTCTACTTTATACTGTTTACTTTGAACAGGAAGTGGTATTTTAGTTTTTTGATTAGATTTACTTTACTAGAACTGTCATACCATGTTCATTAATTAAAAGATATTTTCATAAGATACTATTACTATTATTTTTTAGATATATTTATATTCAGTTTCGATAATGAACTATGTGTAGCTAAATGGCCACTAAAGTGCGTGAATTACTGAAAATGTTTCCGTCTAATATGGATTCCACGGCAGTACATATCCAAGACCCTATCAGGTATTGGACCCAATATCTTCAAAACATTCAGTGAGACCTCAACCTTTAGATAATTGAGTTAGGATTCATATTAGTAGTATTGTTCGACCATCATCCAATAACATTGGTGGGTAATTATTTAACTTCCGATATTGTTGACTCCCACTGGTCACAGCTTATCGATATATTTATGGGAATGACCTTTCAACAGAGGTCACCAATGAAATCATGTTTGATATAAGTATAGGGGCTTTAAGGAGTTCGTCGAAATTTGTGATTTACATTAGGAACTAACTTTAATTGTCGTGTAGTAGTAGTTTGTCTGGGATGTCACCCATAAGATAATATTTTAACAGCTTTATATAAATATTCTAATCATGGATTCTATTATGGCACTTAAATTTTCATGTCTTGGTGATGAAATAGTTTTCATTCAAATTAGGAATGTGATACCTCAAAAAATGTGAATAATTATAATAACTTGAATTTGTTTGAAATTCACTGGATAACTGTTTGTGATATCTATTTAGGATAACATGTTTCCATTGTTTCACAGGTTAAAGTGTCTTATTGAATTATAATACATCCTGGATAGATGTTTCACGAATTTAGAGATTCAGAAAGTTCTTGTCATTGTTATGACAGAAAAAAATTTGCTAAAATTTAGATCTCAGTACCTTCATTTCTAAAACTTGTGTTTTGAAAAACAATTTAGAGTTTAGTTAGATGAGTTGTTAACATGAAACTAACTGAGGAATCATTTAAGACCATGATAAATTGAAAGATTCTCTCATCTTAGTTGGATACTCTACAGGGGATCCCACTCAGAAAAGTAATCTATCTTCACGAAAACAATAACTGTGTAACACTGATTAGGATTTTAATGAACTATGTACATGACATACCAAAAAGCTTTAGTTTACTCTTAACGAGTGAAACATAAAATCTATCTGTATTAACAATGAACGTCAATTATTGTTACCCTTAAACCAATTAACGTATTTATGTTCTTTCTAGCAAGTGTAGATATACAAATACGATGTTAATTATTGTTGTAAATTAGCCCTATGCAATAAACCAAGAAGTGTACCATGACAAATTAAATATCTTTTTATAAATAATTGAAATCTGTTACTAACGGATAAAGGAGAGCTTTCATTATGTTCTTCTAAAGATAATATCTTTTCTACTTTTTTTCAAGGTCCAAATATTGCAATCAATAATGAACTATTAAGTGTACTTAACGAATTATCTGTTTCTCCAAAGACAAAACCAACTCATATTTATCTTTCTGCTTTGTTACCTTCAGTACTGTGTATAATGGTCAGTTGTATATTTGCAATAGGTATATTATGTCATAGAAAGCAATTATTCAAGAAAAAACTTAAATCCAACTACATTTCTAGAATATTGCATAATCCAACTTATTGTGATCAACATTCCACGTATAATGTTACAATTGATGATAACAATCATGAAACCGTTTGTCAATCAGATTTGCAAACAAATCATTCATATTTGAGTAAATCTGTCAAGAATTGTATATCTGAATGGGAGCGTGGAAAAAATTACACTCCTTATTTACAATCATTACAACAAGTAAATTGTTCAACTGGTCATTCGACTCAATATTGTCCTAATTGTAACAATGAACAAAAAGATCTATCACATTTATTTCACTATCAAAATATTTCATATGGTGATAATGATATTATTAGTAATAATAATATTATAAATCAGTCAGTTAAGACAAGTCCGAATTCAAGTGGTCAGATGCCTAGTACAGAGAACTCGTTTCCATTGACTAGTTCTGAAATGATAAATAAAACAGAGAATTTGTCCCCGTCATCAGCAAAATGTTTATCACATGGATTTGTCAACAATTCAGTGATGCATTATAATCAGTGTTATTCATCTCAATTTAACCATACTACTGGTTTGAGTTATGGCAATTTTACAAATGGTTCCAATAATATTATTAATAATAATAATAATGATAATATTAATAGCAAGCAAATCAATCAACAGACCAATACTCTTAAATCAAATGAACATGAGGACGATACTAAACCAAAACAACTTCATCCCCTAAATGATAGTTTAGTAAGTAATACAAAATTGTATTTTTATCAAGATGATGAACTGATTCCTAATATTCATGCAAAGTTATATGATGTTAATATTCATGAAAAAGAAAAGGTCACTTCTGGTTCACAGGAGAAACCTGTAAATGTGAATAAAGGAGATTTATCGATAAATTCATCAGAACAAATAAATTGTAAAATTAAGCGTCGATTAGCACCACCGTTATTTAGTTCTGGAGATGATTTATTACCAAATTATATGATGAATACAAAATCACCAGCCCACTTAAAATACGGTATAATACCTGTGGTTCGATATCCTTACGATTCGGATGATCAGTTAAAGGATTCAGATTCTGATGTATCGAGGTATCCTCAAGCTAAAGATTCGTTGAACTATTTGAGAAATTACGAAAATAAACCTGACATATGTTTAAGTGTAAACAATGATAATTCAAACCAAAAGTATTCAATTTCTACTTCACCAACATTTAATATGCTAAATCCTAATAGGAGTCAATTATCTCGTACTGCATCGGATCATAAAGTTCAAAATCCAGTTAGTCCTTCATTGATCAGAAGTGTAACTTCACAAATAACTAATAATTCAGCTAATTCATTTGTAAAGATATCCTAACCATTTACTAAAAATATTTGTACAACACAACCAATAAATGTTTTAAGTAATAAACATAATTCAGAGAATCATATAGAATCTTCACCGATAAATATTAAAAGCCGATGTTTTATTTATGATTCAAACAAATTACCTACAGTTAGTGATAATGATGATCTTTCTAACAGTATGTCCCATTCCCTACAACTATAAATTATTGGAAACTTTGAATATATCCTTGAAAATATATACACACATACACATAAAATATTACTTGTCGATGTTAAGTTCCCTTGTCATTAGTTATAATATCTAATCAACCTATTAACAGTTATCATTACTTTGTTGATCAGTTGAATTTTAAAATTTATGTAGGTTTTAAAGTATAGAATATATAGATATTCATATGCAATATACTTCATTTGTGGAGACATTCAACTGTATATAATTTAGGAAGAAAGATAATAAAGCGAATTGACAAGCCTACATAAACTAATGATAACCATTAAATCATTTCAAGAGTTGTGTACAATGTGTTTTAGGAAAAATCCATTAACTTAATAGATATATGTGTCAGCACATATATATATATATATATATATATATATATATATATATATCGGTTTTGAAACAAACGTTATATAAATTAAAGCAGATCTTTCTTTGTATTCTTTTCATTTATTTATTTATTTCTGTATAAATAACATAAAATCTTCAATCTTTTCTATGTATTTAGTTATAAATCATCAGTTTACCATTTAAAATATTTCGATTATGCATAAAATAAAGTAAACGCAATGATATGGTATTTGGTAAGAGAAAAATTGACTTTCTTCAATGTGTTTCTCCATTCAAATCAACCATCTACCTTAACAACAACAATAATTATATATGTGTTATTTAGTTTTCTTACCAAATCACATAATGTTGATGAATTTAATTATAATTTAACTGATATTATCATTAAAGCTAGTTGTATCCTTCAATTTTTAATTTTTTTAGGGTTCGTTTATTTCTTTGTTTTAATTTCATTTATTAATAATGCAAAAATAGGAATGTGACGATATTTTGTTGCTAAACAAATGGCTTTTTTCATTTACCAGTGATTGATGTCATATATATATAATACCTCTATTACATAGCTATAGCACAAATCGGACATACGACTTATAACATTAAAAACACCATTTCCTAGTGTAAAGTAATTTGTTGATATACGATTGCTTAAAGTTTTTTATGCCCTGTAAAAAATGGTTATATCTGTGGAGAAACGTTTAAACGATCAGCTGGAATGTGTACTTTTCAAATTAACCTTTCTCATAATACAGCAGTGTAGGTGTTTCTAATGTGGGGTCTCATCAATTAACATTCGATTCTCGTAATATGATGAAAATCAAATTATAAACTGCTGCATTTCGTATAGAATAAAAAAGGAATGACTATCCCTGTCTAGTGCTAAATAAACCTATTTCGCAAAGTATAGTTTTCCATTCATATTTCCAACTACATTGCCTATCAGGTTTGTAGAAATACAGAAACGGTATCTTTTTCTTCATCGATAAAATTTAGGATAAAAAAAACAAAAGCCAAAAATTATGAAAAAATGAAACTTGAAAAATCAGATCTTGTCCGTGTTTCCAATATAGATTATGAATTATAACCAGTTCTTATGAACGGCTTTTATTGTTACAGTTCACACATTTTAATTGTTAGAAAAGCGATATCCTTCAGAAGCGATTTTTCATAATAGATGTTCATAAGCGTCCTTCTGCTACAGATAACACTTCAAAACTACTTATGTTATTCTTTAGTAGTAAAGACAAAGAAGCTAAATATTTTCTGATGAACCATTAGAAAGGCTTCAACTAACTTGTTAGTAATTTTTACTGAATTCCGAATCTCAAAATAGTTGGTCACTATTTGCATTCAGGAGCTAAGCAGATTATGTTTCACAAGGTTGGAGCGGGTGTTGGATACATGCACTGATATAAACACCAACACTTCAAGTTTATCCAGATGACGATTCCCAAACCAGACGCAACGCGAATAATGTTTCGAATAGCTGTTGTTGCATCATCATCTGTCAAACGGTTATTTTATTAAAAAACTACTTAATCGATCCTGAAAAAATCAGAAAAGCAATCGTGTAGGTTACAGAAGGGAATCAATAGACTAACATTAAGCCTAGTTCAAATGTGTTATCGAAAATTATTGGCCTAAAAAAGCCTTGTTAATATAAATGGTTCTACTTCTGGCTATAAACCAAATGTCAATGAGAAATTTCTGACTATTTGGTCGAACTTATGAGTTGTAAATAACCCTGAGCTCGATTAATAGTGTTGAATTAAAAAGATAAGAAGTAACTAAATATAAGCTTTCTATTTGCTTATCATAGTTATGAGAAATTTAAAATGAGTTAGTAATTTAATTATATTTCGGTTATGGACAAAATAATGTTCATTCAGTCATTTCTTATGATTTTATGATGATTCAATTCCACTGTAACTTTTGAGCATGAAAGAAATCAAATGAATAAACATTAACTATCCATCTTTGTTTATGATGCTTGTGAATTAAAGCAATATCAAGGCAATACGCACAGTATGCATAGATGCCAATAAGAGACTGATCAACTACATCAATGGGAATATTCAAGTAAACAATACTAGTTTATACATAGTAATCTTACTAAGAGATGAATCTTTGAATAGAATTTAAACGATGAATAATAATCCATTTTTCTAAGTAATATTAGACAGTCAGACATTAAACTGGGAAACAAGTTAGATATATACCTGATAATACTGAATGGTAGATAAACGTAATGTTACCAAATCAATTAAAACAATAATGCTATAACTTAAGGCCTGTGTGTCCTGTTAATGTATAACTTAACGATACTGCCAATTAGAGAATGTCATGCTGATTGCTTTCGTTAACCTATATTTCAGAGTATAACCAGCCACATCCCTGCTGAATTGTAGTTTCATGTATAAAGGTTTCTTACGAACAGTCGAAATCTTCGACTTCTTTATTATGTCATATATGTACTTCTTAATGAAAGCACTGGGGTAGCCGATTTCGGTCAGTGAGGTTAGACGGTGGTTGGAGGTAGTCGACAGGAAACCCTGGACCCGGGTTTTGTGCTACTTGGCAATCATCAGCAAGGTGTACCTGTAATCTTGAGGGAACTATTGCTCCCTGACGGATTCGATCTCGTGTCACCCAGCTTCACAGTCAGAGATATTACCACTAAGCTATCCGAGCCGCGACCAACCTCCTGTAGGACTGAGATGTAATCACAATTGATTGACCACTGGGTGGTGACCAATGTCATGCTTGTCTAGTCCTTATTAGTGCAGATCGAATGCTATCGATCATGTTTCCTGTTGACTACCTCCAACCACCATCTAATCTCAATGCATAGTGCTCGCAGTGTCGAGTCACCTAGACTGGTGGCCACATTGCAACATGACCTTTGTGTTTGTCGCTAATCTTCATATTGGTCAATCGGACTACAATCTGACCCATAAATTATTTTCTACCTTACCCCTTGATTAGTACGTAACCTCATTTGTTATTTATCCCTGAATCCAATTTTGTGATGCAATTTTTTCTATCCTCCTACAGGCATACATTTTCTATAGAACTATATATACGAATGTACAGCTTAAGTAAATGATTTCGTCGAAAAGAAAATTTTCTCCGCTGAATTCTCTAGTATAATAAATAAAACGGACTATAAGCAAGTCTTCTTATTTAACTTATAATGTGGATGAGTAAAATGTTTGACAAACAAATGTTATTATTATCTTACTAATTACTTTGCATTAAGTCGAATGATTGATTGCTTATGTACATTTCCCATATGTGAATAAGTGTATGCCTGTCAGACTTTATCTATTTATAGTCTAACGCATTGTAAGTGAATCCTCTCTATAATTCATGACCCACGTTTTCGCTTACAGACTTATTCCAAAAAATGCCTTCTTCAAGTCTTTACTTAGAGCGTTTGGTCTGTTTATTTAGAGTATCTGAAATATGTAATATTACCTTATTATCATTAAGATAACAAATATAAAGGAATCGGTTAAACAAAAGTTAGTCGAGGCCATTCATAGTTGTGGCCTGAATATACACTTACAAAATCATAAGTTTACTAGCATTCATAAGAACAATAACTTCTTGAGTAAATACTTCAGCATAGTAAGTAGGTCAAAATATGTATAAAAAAACGTAATGAAGTAACAATCCATCAATGCTGTAGAACTCGTGACAAAATGGCTTTATCGAGGCAATCTGTTTTAAATACACATATGCTAACAAAAACTGATCGAAAAATTCAGTCAAGAACATTGATAACATGTTCATTTAAACCCTTTCTAATAATGATGTAAGCATATACTAGTTTTTTTAAACATTTTTAATTGTGTCAGACATTATATGACTTATGCAAATAATTTTGCATTTACTGTATAAACTAACATGACTAGCAAAAATGAATTTCAGATCTATGGAAACGTTACTTTATACGGTAGCTTTACTTTTGAAATCATATTATCATTCGAACTTTCTTTTTCTCATTTAAGGATATTCACAATTCTTTCCTTTTGATATTGGACGGAATTATTCGAATAATGTCCGTAATAGTGTATTCGTACTTTGATTAAGGCTGAAATTCAGAATAAACATTTCTTTGTGTTTAGAACTCTTTAATTGCAACTAAATCTTAATGTTTTTATTCATATTGAGATTCAAATCTTAAGTTATTCACAATTTATTAGTTACAGTCTCTCACACTCACAGTCACTTCTTGCCATGATGTTCTGTACGTCTGAAATATACGAGTTATATTGCGGAAGCTGATATTTGTGTTTTGGACTGAACCGGGTTGGGTTAGACGAGAAGCTACTATACAGAGGACCAATAATGACTCAGAGTTGACTCAAGGCTGATCTTGCTGGTTAACGCGTCATTAGTTTAGCACAGGGACAAGGCCATATATGTTGGAGTTCTAATTGGCGATCTTGTTACGTGATATTGAAAGGTTGTTAGGGTATAACAATCTCCATCCACTGTTTTTAATTATTTTGTTATTTATATTGTTTACATATTGTTCTCACCAGTTATAACTGTGAGTTGTTTCTGATTTTGTGTTGTTATTAAGTAGATATTTGGATGAATGTAAATCTACCAGTCTCCTCCTATTTTTGGCTTTTTGATTGGTGTTACGAAATGATGTTAAAAGATATTGTGTCGTAGCATGTGCTGAAATAATACTGATAAAATGTTTCAGTGATGCAGTTTATTTAGACATTATGTGTAAGAATTTTCTTAGTTTGACAGCTTGTCCCAGTTGTTGATTCATACTTTCGCTTTACCAATGATGTAAATAAACCTTTAAACGACTGAGCCGGCATCTAACGGTGTTAGAGTCTAAATCCAACCAATCAACGATATTGTGCAAACATCCACTATTGTCTCCAGTGAGTAACTGCCTCACAACACACATACTTGAACTCCACTGGTCGCGCAATATCGTGGATTGGTTGAAGTTAGATATAAATACCGTTAGATGCCGGCTTATTGGTCTAGAGGTTATGCATTCGCACACGAGACCGAAGGTCTTGGGCTCGAGTCTTGCATGCGGGGTCGTATGTGCCTACTGCTGAGGAGTCCCATACGGGGACGAGACGGCTGTCCAGGGCTTTCAGATTTGTAATGATGGTTCAGCTTTAATCGACTCACGAATTCAACTATTTAACAAAACTACCAACTGCCATCCACATGATTTTATTTCACATTGGACAAAAAGAATAACAGAGGGCAACAAACTGGTATATGACTGAAAAGAATTATTATTTATGAAAATATGCAACCTGAAGCTTACGTTCTTGATAATATACAGAAGGTAACTTTTATCGATCTAGGTTAAGTCCTTGGACGATAGGCTAACTGATTTAAACTTGAGGCTAGAAATGTGTGTTTGAAATGAGACTAATTGCCTTGGGTAAAGAGTCCAAAACTATTCTGTCAATCGATTGGTTGACAATCGAGGGAGAAGACGGGTCAATTAAAACATTACACGATTTATTCCCGATTCAGATTAGTGCAAAAAGATGACTAAGATGAGCACAACGCATAAACAACTAGAAAAATGCCATTATTTTCAAACTGGGCATCAGGCCAAAAAATAGAGTACCAAAGGTTACTTTTAATTTACAATAGCTTTGGGACAAAAAAGGGCATGACAATACATCGTAAATCAAACGAAAGCTTCTGGTTTGTAGAATAAACCAGGGACAAAACTAAATGTTAGTGATTTTCACGCTTTGAATTAAGTAAACCAACCTCTCCAAAAATAGCACTGATTGTTTGTCATGGCGTCTTTGTTTCTCTGTTCACATCAGTAAATTATAACGATTATATCTTTGAATGATGTACTGTTTATATGTAATTATAGAGTAAATCATCTAATAATATGATTATTCAGACCACATTACAGAACATATTACAATACGAAGTAAAAAAAATACTACTGTATTAATCAAACTTAATTACCCGATTCCTACGATGTATAATTATAAAATGTCTACGAATTAGTTTATATATCATATGTATACAATATCTAAGCTCATTACTTTCCTATGAAAAAAGTGAATCCCGTTAACTTATGAATTACTTACCTGGAAACTATGGATTAAAAGGATTTACAAAATTTAATTTTTTATATTGTCTTTTACAAATAATTTTCTAAATAACACATTTTCTTTTCATTAAAAAAGGTGTTTTAACTGATATTACAAATACAACTAATCCAGTAACTAAATTCATTGTCCCCAGATCCATATACTTATTAATCAAGCTAATCTTAATGGACTGTCTTCAGATTTCTAACATTGCAAGTTCATGATATATCTGTTCATTCAATGGTGATTATTCATCAATCATCACATTTGATCACTCTTCCAACCTAACAATTTTATTAATTATGTTCGTTTTCCAAATAAGAGGTACTTAACAACAAGTTAATTCTGCATAGAGTAGGAGTATTGGTACACATGAAGAGTATTTAGAAGAAACAAAAATAACAATACTGATCTATCCAGAATTAAAATTTTTAACACCAGTAGGTACACTAATTAAATTGACTACTTAATGACTCTACTGAAATGTAGTAATACTCAAAATTCATTATAAATTATCCATTATAGAAAAAAAACTTGTTAAACATTTATTTAAAACAAATTATATGCACATTTTTATTTGTAAATTTCAGATTCAAAATGATAAATCAGTATAAGATGATTATTTTCACAAAAGGGTTTTGTACAGATTTTAGTAATTTGGTAGTTGAATTCTTGAATTAATTAAAGCCAGAGCACTATGGGAAACATGGAAGCGCTGAACGTCCGTTTCGTCCTACTGTGAGTCTCCTCAGCAGTCTGCATCTACGATCCTGCTCACAGGATTCAAGCCTAACGCTTAACTTCTAGACCACCACCCATTGGGGTGATCCAGAAAATTACTTGCAAAAGACAAGCAAGCATCAAGAAACACTAAGAAGTGTTTCGTCCAATCAGCGTCCATTTGGAGTCTTGGACAGAAATATCAAGGTAGCGAAACGTCACATGCGGAAGCTCTGATTGGTTGGCTACTACAGTGCTACTATGTTTCGTAGCATTCCAGAATATTCCGGCGACCCAAGGACGTTTAGATATATTATAAAAACCCTATATTTTCTGTAATAAAATGAACCTCGGAGTAAAGTATTTTCCCTCGTACTTGCGTCTTCTCTCTGGTGTTCAAGTCTCTGTGAAGTTCTAGCTTTCGGGGTACCAGAATAGCTTAGGAAACTAATATAGCGTTCAATCGATAAGACTTATCAATCTGACATAGATTAGCTTCACCAGTAACGACTTCTCACTAAAACTCCGAGAATTCCGTCAAAAGCAAGTCACTAATGAGTACATGGGGGTTGTAAAGATTATTATGTTTTTGATTGCGATCATGAACCGATTAATGTAAGACTACCATTAAAAACCTAAAGTCACTGGACTATTGTTTCTTCCAAGTATGAGACTCCTCAGCAATGTGCATGCACGACCTCGCTCACCGGATTCGAACCTAGGGCCTTCAGTCTAGCTATTATTTCTTTCTTTTTCATTCAAAACAATTTATTTCTAATAGATTTTCTTTATTAAAGATGTGAATACATTTATTGAATATTGACAACATTTCATTAAAACACAATAAAGACACATTTTCTATTACATAATAGAAATATTCTACAAAATAATGAATTAAACTATGATTCTACTGTCTAAGTATAATTCACAAGCTTCTTTATTCAAAAAGCCGAACAAACAAACAACCAACCAAATATTATATTCCATGTTGATTTCAACTGATCATAGTTTGATCTTTCAATAACATGATTTATTTATTTATTTATTTATTTAATTTATTTGTAAAATAACAAAATATTTAAATAATCAATAAATCAAATAATTCGAAAATCAATATTCATTGAAAGAATAAGTAAAATTAAAAGTACAGTTTAGAGAAGAAAACAGAAATAGTTTTTTTTCATTGAACATTTAATAATTAATTATTTAATCAATCAATATTGAATAAATAAAGATGTGAAAAAAATATGTAATTCAAATAATTGTACAAAACAAATTTGTGGGTTTTTTTATGAAGAAAAACCAACCAACCAGCCTAACAAACAAACAGAACAAACAGTAACATAATATCGCTATGGAGAAAATATGGTGTGGTTCTTTTTATTTAAAAAAAAATCATTTTAGATGTAATTGTATTATGATGGTTTGTTACAAAGCCATATTGCATCATCCGTTTCAATAGATTTTCCGGTATCATTACAAATCTATAATGAAAATGTTGTGAAAAAACAAACAAACAGAAAAAGAATTAATTTAAATAAATTTTTAATTTGATAACAGACTAACAGCTCAATCGAATGATTAGTGGATCAACTTTAGTCAAGTAATTCACATTAGATATTATTTAGGATTATCTGCTATTATCAAAAAAGAATAGGGTCATAGAAAGTTTAGATATGAAATTTGTATGCGGTTGAATTTAAAGGAATTCATATTTAATTCTTTTTTTTTAGGAAAAAAAGGGGGTTCAGTCTCTTTTCTTATCTTGACATTAATACATATTCTCAGTTTAAAAATCGTCAACTATTGTTTTTCTCTCTAATGTCTTCCTTGATCTTTTTTTAAAGCATACAATTATCTTTTACATTCTTTCTATAAATTATTATTATTGTTATTACCTTTATGATTATTATGTAACTCATGTTCACTGATTAAAAGCTTTTCATAAGTCTACTGTAATATTATTTATTTATTCCATGATATAATAAAGTAGTAGATAACCCTTGTATTACATGGTTATTAATTTGTTAGTTTTGGTTTCATCATAACAGTATACAGGATTTGTCATCTACCTTATATAAACATATATATATATATATAGTAGGAGAAGTTTGTTACTTGTAAGATAAAGGTTAGAGGTAATCAACAGGAAACCTTGAACCTACGTTTCGTGTTACTTGACGCACGTCAGTAGGGTGTACCTGTAATCTTTATGGAACTGATGCGCTCTGACGGATTTGATCCTATTTCTCAACATAGTGCATCCAATCTCTAGTCACCTGGACCAGTGTCTACACTGCAATGTGGTTGATAGAATTAGATCTGCACTAAGAAGGATCTGACACACATGAAATTATTCACTGCTCAGTGATCAGTCAATAGTAAAGAGTTTGTTACTTGTTTAATATAGCATTTGACATAAAAAAGATATTTTCCTCACTAAAATATATCTCATATAACCATCAACATACCTGATAATATGTAATAGCATTCGGATCACAGTGATTTTGTTATTTGATTTAATATTGGTTAACGATGGTTAGTTAGCCGGTTAAGAAAGTAATTCATAAATGAGTTGAGATAAGCTTTAAAGTTAAGTCGGAAGTCTTTATTTGACTAATGAGTTCATTGTAACATGGATGTATTATGTAATAATTATTAACCTAAGTAAAGAATTTTCTTTATATACTAACTGTTACAGTTACCCTATATTAAAGAAACGAATAGTAGTATTAATTATGCAGGTACAAATGGTAACAATTACTGATCATATAAGAGCTATTGTATTCGAATGTTGGGTAAGAAATATAGAGTACATTGATGACTATGGTAGTGAAATATTTTTAATTCGAATTACATGAAAAAGTATTTCGCTTCACAAAAATTGGCTTGATGTTTATACTGTGGCATAACTGCAAATTGAAAGTACGGTTACTACCCTAGTCTACTTATAAGTAGTTCAAAGTATTAAGGTAAAAATGTAGACTATTCACTATGAGTGCAATATTGAAACGTTTCATTACCGTTTGCAAATCTTTTCATATTTACCGATGTCATGTTTACACCAGTGATGAGTATCGCACCAGTAAGAAGTAGCTATTAATTCCACTAAAGTTTCCATCAATTTATCACTTGATAACTCTGTTACTTAAACGCTTATTCTTGCCTTCTTGAGCGCTTCCTATTATTGTGTTCTCGTTCACTACACTACCAGTAAAAATCAATTATAATTACTTCATTTAGTACAAATTTCGTATCGTATGTACTACCATAAGATTCTATTGAATCTTAACCAAGAATATTTGGGTTTTGTTTTCTTGTTTCGCTATTTTCACAGTAAATCCTACTACCTTAGCTAGACGAAGCATCAGTAGATATATTCATTGTTAAACGTAACAAATTCCCACTTAAGAATAACCAAGAAAAAATAGATATAAATATATTTCTTAAACCTTTAATTTATTGAAACACAAATGTGAACCTCATTTATATCTTACAAGACATGTTATCAAGAAGCACACAATTTATATGAATGATAGTAAGTATAGCTTGACTTTTACTACTTCAATACATTTTAAAAGATGCCACTTGTTATAAATTAACTTATGTCCATCTAACGAGTCTGACGGCACTTATGACCTTAGGTATTGGAAATAATTGCTGTTACATATAATCAATTCACTTTGTTACAAATACTGCCCTGACAATTTTATAATCTTAGAACTAAATGTTTAAAAAGAACATTTATGTTAATGAATAATCTTGGATGTATGTGAGGATGGAGGCTATAAGAAGTTCATAAAGAGGCAGAGACATTCCATACAATCATCGACTGAAGATACATTCCCTAATGGACAAAATTTAAAAACCAGTGTATGAGGACTGAATGACAATAATGATGATTCCGCTTTCACGGAAAACTATAAATACCTGACTGTTTGGAACCATATTCGACACTGTTTTGGAATAGTATTCCTTCACACACATTTTTGTCTTCTCATTTGCAACAACAAGGGTTCTAGTGTTCGAGTGCTCAATTTGTACGCGATGTATCAATAATCTAAGCTCTAGATATAAAAACTGGCGACGATGATGGGATTCCAACACACGCGGGGAAACCCCAATGGGTAAACTAAAACTAATACTTTTCAACTCTAAATTTTTTAAAACATTAAATTGATTTGGAAAACTGTACACAAGCGAATTTTTGAATATTCTGAATAATATTATCATGTTATTGTATGTAAAATCGAAACAAAATACAACTAAATAATTTTGACAGAATTAAAATTCAGATATTAATAAATTTGCATGTATCGCTTAACAAATATGAAGTACTATTCATGTCTGATTAATGTAATAAAATTCTTAGTGTTAATTCAAAGTAAAAAAATGAGAAAAATCTTATATAAAATGTTGGGACGGCTTTCGGGAATTACGACGGAGCTTCCAGAGGCCCTGAAGTAGCCGAAGAGTTTACATCTAATCAGAACGTGATCGAGCTTTCTAGAATATCAACGTGGCCTACTACGATTGTATAGTAGCATTACTTGTCTCTTTTTGGATTGGCCGAATTATAATGATGTCATAACAAACGCTAATATGCATAAATAGCCATGACTTTCTGTTCATTTCGATTCTTACTCAACAAACACTTCCCCAGCTTTCTTCTATTTTCTGATTTTGTGACTGTGGGGTTCTATACGTTCGAGTGCTGTTATTAAATAACGTATTCTACGTTAATCAAGTAGCGAACATAACTCAAAATAACATATAATCAACTTTGAGAGGTTTAGCTGTTTAAAATGGAAATATGTAATTTAATTATTGTATTAACACAAGTATATATAACGTAAAATGAATGATTTACTTCACAGTGTGTTTTATGCTCAAACCAAATTTTCAGATACTCCTTTAATCTAGAATAAAGTGTTCCATTGAGTACATCAAGGACATCACACATACGAAAATAATCAGGATTACCCAACAAATAGCTTGGTCCGGAAAGCTTTAGAAAAGCAAACAAAACACAAAACTTTTGAATTTACTAACAAATTAAGAAATTTATACTATAATGTAAATTACAGTAGACTTCATTCCCATTCTCATCGCCACCGGTCCAACAAATTCCTGAGATTCTTAAATTTATAAAGTACGGTAACTTTCGTTGGTTGAGTATGTTCAAATAACGGTTTTTAGAAGTTTCATAGTTACCCCAATATTATCCATCTTTGTTTATTATGCTTGTGCATTATGGTAACATCAATGAAATACACACAGTATGCACACATAACAATAAAAGACTGATCAATTGAAGTCCTAAACATCAATGGGAAGATTCGAATAAAAAATATCAAGTGAAATTACAGCAGTAAGTTCAAAAATGTGCTTTTAGAAAATCCGCATTTGGCAGATTGTGTGCATAGATTTTCATATATTTACGTCTCGTTCTACGAGACGATATACAAGGAGAAAGATATGAATGGTTAGATTCTGATAAGATAAAACTTTCCAAAAGTTTGCAGGACTTTAGATGTTTATCCACAATCATATTAATAATGACTTCAAAAGATTCACCACACACCTTGCTAACTGCGTTCAGCACTCTCCGCAATACAGCAAAGTGTTTTTTCTCAAAAGCCCGAGAGAGAATAGTGGAGAACAGTAAAGAATAATAAGGTAATATGCCGGAATTGACAAATTGTAAGAGAAAATGTCGAGTAATTTTAAAAGCATGTAACCTCTTTATGCAGTAAGTCAGCCGGAAAACTTTCTTCGATAACTGTAAAACATAAGAAGACTAAGAGAGATCAAATGAGAAAGCAATACCAAGATAATTGGTCTTCGACACTTTGTTTATCAAAGAGTCTCCACTGGCACCATGATTATGGGGACTCAAAGTGCTGTTTGGGTGCTATTCATGTCTTAAGCGAAATTTAACGGCTTGATATTTAGACGGATTAATTATGAGACCGTTAACAGCATACTACTACTCAATATGAGACAACAACTCATTCATTTCTATGGAATGTAAAGAGGTAGAAATCAGCATACATAAAGTCAGATCGTCCTCATACTTCACAAAAGTGTTTTTTGTGGAAGATGTCAGATCATGCAGAAAAAAAGAGAAAAGAAGAGGTGAAAAACAGCTACTTATGACACAACTTCATGAGATAGTGAAGATGTTGAACACATTTCTCCAAATATAGTGTACTCTTCTCTTCCAGAGAGGTAGGAATATAACCGATTGGTTATCCAGATGTAAATATTGATGCTGACTAACTTGTTGAATTAAAGTTTTCTCGGGATAGAATAAAAAGCAGAAGTATAATCCAGAACATATTTCTTACCCCTTTCCAAGATGAACACTATGTTGTGATGCAGAACAGCAGCGGCTTCTTAATTACGCCTGTTACTCCCAATGGAGTAAATGCCGCTGACCAGCATTCTCCAACCCACTCTGTCCTGGGCCTTCTTTTCTAATTCCATCCAATTCTTGTTCATTTTTCTCATGTCTATCTCCATTTCCCGGCGTAATGTGTTCTTTGGTCTTCCTCTTTTCCTTTGGCATTCAGGATTACATGTGAGGGCTTGTCCTGTGACAAAGTCAGAGGCTTTCCTCAATGTGTGTCCTATCCACTTCCAGCGCTTCTTCCTAATTCCTTCCTCCACTGGGATCTGGTTTGTTCTCTCCCACAGTTGGTTGTTGCTGATGGTGTCCGGCCAACGGATCCGAAGTATTTTGCGTAGACAACTGTTAATAAACACCTGTATCTTCTGGATGATGGCTTTCGTAGTTCTCCAGGTTTCCGCCCCATACAGTAAAACTGTCTTGACATTTGTATTGAAAATCCTGACCTTGGTGTTGGTTGACAGTTGCTTTGAGTTCCAGATGTTCTTCAGTTGTAAATATGCTGCTCATGCTCTGCCAATCCGCGCCTTCACATCTGCATCAAATCCATCGTGTTCATCAATGATGCTGCCCAGATATGTAAAGGCTTTTACATCTTCCAAACCTGCTCCGTCAATTGTGATTGGATTGGTGCATGCTGTGTTGTATCGGAGAATCCTGCTTTTCCCATTGTGTATGTTGAGACCTACTGCTGCTGAGACTGCTGCTACACTGGTCGTTTTCTCTTGCATTTGCTGTTGCGTGTGCGATAGGAGGGCCAGATCGTCTGCGAAGTCTAGATCATCCAACTGCATCTGGGATGTCCATTGTATCCCGCGCTTCCCTTCAGATATTGACGTCTTCATGATCCAGTCGATCACCAGGAGAAAGAGAAAGGGTGAGAGTAGACAACCTTGCCTAACACCGGTCTTCACTTCGAAAGACTTTGTCAACTGTCCCCCATGCACAATTTTGCAGTGTAATCCATCATAGGAATAACCAAATATAAATTTATAAACAAAGATGGATAGTGGCTAGTAAAGGTATTCAAGAAACGCGTTTCGTCCTATTTGGGACTCGTCAGCTGGACATAGCTGCTTCCCAGAGTTGGTGTTAGCTTTAGTACTTGAACTCAGTACCGTTCGCTTCAAACCATATCGCGTTTTCCACTTAGCTACTGTGTCCTGATAGCCACTTGCTTGTGCAATGGGGTGAAGTTTAAATTAATCTTGTATTGTTTGTTGACATTTAGAACTGCAACTGATCAGCCTCTTGTTGGCATCTGTGTATCCTGTATGGATATTGCTTTAAGTCATAAGCATTATAATTAAATATAACTTTTTCGATAAAAAAAAGCTTACTTCAGCACTAGCCTTTATGGAAGAAGCCTCTGGACATAACATTGCGTAGCGTAAAAGTGGTTGTAATTTGGTGCGAATCTCGTAAACCTTTCCAGCCTCAAGGTTATCACGATGCCAATAAGCTGGAACTTTCAATATCAAAGAATCCCAAATAACGCACAATTTAATGTAGACTGAACGACAAACCTGTTCAGAAAAAAATAATGAATGGCTTAGATTTCGTGGATCAAAAATGATTATTTTGTTTTTAAACTGAATGGAAACTCACAATGATTAAACTGATTGTTTCGAAAAGATTTTAAATGCGTTATTCTACCAGATCATGAACACATATATCTCTAGTAAGTAAACTGAACCTTATCTAAATTACTTCAATAAATAGTGTATTCTAATAATAATAATAATACTTTGACTATTAACAAACTACTGGAAAAAATATTGGGAATCCCAGTAATATGGTGTGTCCATTGTAATAAAGGCATGTCTAGATTGAGAAAATACCCTCGACAGAAACAGTTTACACAGTCAATCACTATTAAGAATTCATTATATTTAATTTTATAAGCCTTTGAATGCTAACTCAGTGATATAATGCTTACGTTTTTGTCATTATTTCTGAAGATGCTGAGTTTGATTCTTGATAAAATAGTGGGCAAGCACTGCTAAGTAGCCCGAACCTAGAACGGCATGGTTTTTAAGGGTTCTCTTAATATCGACGTAAGATAACCAAAGTCACTGTATGATATAAACTACAAACAGGTTTGACTAATTGAGTATTTAAATTTATTTTTCATAGAAGTGATCGAAAATGCGTTTAATTCATCGCTAAATATTTACTTTATAGATGAGTCGCAATTAAATTTACTCTAGATATTATTGCACACTGATATTTAAAAGTATATTCTTAAATTACAAAGCAAAGGAATATACCCCTCTTATATGCGAAAGAAAAAATAGATGTTTCTGTCACCTATGATAGAAAGTAGTCGCTGAATTTTGTATAAAAACGTTAAAATTAATGATGCATGTTTAATGATTATAAGAAAATAGACTTACAGGTTGTTTAGATGTATCGTTTAGGAGGAATATTGAACCTGGTACATACCAAGTGTCATCCCAGTGACAACGTTCGCAATAATATTTTCCAGTCATATGACAAATACGCATAGTTGTAGCTTGTGGAGTAATGTCGATTTGACTGAACTGATGATGAGAACGAACACGTCGTAAGTGTGAAAATACTTCTTTGTGTGATTTCTGACGTTTCATTGATTTGTGATTATTATTATTATTATTATTAGATGAAATATTATTTTCATTCATTTTATTATTTGTTTTAAGTTCATGTCCGCTGTGTGAATCTAATACACATCCACATTCGAAACATTTATTAGACTGAAGGCCAGGTAGTGCTGAAAGGAATACTGCTTCTAAATCTATTAATGAGCTTTCTTCAAATTTAACTGAATAATTTCCTAAAGATTGTGGAAATAGACATTTTGTTACTAAAATGATTTGGAAATATAACTGTCGAAACAATAGCTAATTAAATACGTACATACATACGGTTTTTCAAACTGACTGTGTATAGGATAATACTAAATGATAATTAAAGATCAAGATGAAAACAACAGTTTGCTCAGAACTTTGTGACTACCCTCTAAAGCATAATTAAAGAGCGGAAAACTAATATTCTCCTTAAAACTCATACTATTTTGTAAGGAATACGATTAAGTATTTGCTTACAGTTAGTTCCCTAAGATGTAGGAAAAATGGAATCTAAAATTTCTTCTAAATACTATGACATCTCGTTGTTTACCATAAAACATTTTGTTTAAACCATCGATTTTCACACAAATGAAGATACATAACTTTCAATAGTCGTATAAGTAATTGTTGGAAAGATGTGATTTTATTTTTGGTGAGGCACTTACTTATCACTGACATTAGACATACAGACTATTGAGTAACGGTCTGTGGTTCAAATGTTAGACGCTTGTCACGAAGTTTTTAGACATTGAGTCAGATTTCCGGTAGTGTTGTGAATGAAAACTGTTTAAGTGTTTCATACTAAGAAGGAAACGGCTGTCCAGTGTTTGATTGTTTTTGATGTTTATCTAACGAAAATCAATTGGACAGTTTCTACAAACCCTCTTTACAGTAATGATAATCATATACTGACTGATGAATAATTCCTTGGGTTCTAGTGAGAGGCTGTGAACACTAGGATCTAGCCACATCAGATATTAGGCAGTTCTGACAAACTTCCAAGGAATTAAAAGAACTCAGAAAAGATATACTATTATTTACTTAAGGTTACTAAAATTCAGTACAGAGTTCCAGCTTGAGCTAATTAGGGCAAACACATTTACAAATAAATCAAAAATGCTTAGCATGATGTACAGATGAATTAAGTCTTTCGAATTGTTCGTATCAAACGCATTTGTGTGATTTATGTCAAAAATCTTTAAATCTAAAGGTCATACAGATACTTCACTTGTACTGGTCGCCTCTGTGAGCATCACGTAGTAAGAAATAATCTGTTTCCAATAATAATCGTCTTATGATGAACATAATAAAAACAACTGCATTTTGTTAAACAACGGTCAAGTATCATGTGAAATATTTTAAATCTCCTGGTATTTTCATTTCTGTAATGAACTAAAAATTTTCATATTTTATGCATCATAATGAAAAAGAAACTTATATGTGAAATTTAAATGAACATCAGTTTGCAGAGTATTCTAGGGCATTCGATCAAAATGTATAATCCAAACAACTGAATGTCAGAATGTGACAAACAAATTTGTACACCAAATGTTATAATAAAATAATTAACTGTTCAAAATTAAATGAAAATAACACATCAACAAGTTTAGCTAGTTATCCTATTTTCTGTCTTCTCGCTTCGGGGATGTTGTTTACGAAATTCAGAGGACGAAAAGTGAACGTTTGACGCTTTATCGAGTTGGTGGATATGGATTATCCACCTATGGAAATTAAAAAACCCTGATTGCAAACCAGTGGTGTACATGGGCTTCAGAATCCTGAAGGAACAAAATACTTATGAACCTATTGTTGGTCACCGGCTACCGTGTGGTTTCACCTCCTTATGTTGCTCCACTGCCTTGCGGATGAAACCATCAGGTAAAAGGCTCAGGCTGTGACCTCCTAAGAAAATCACCTGCTTCGATTTCGGCACTTAGATAATACCACAGCTCTCACACATATCAGTGATAACTGCTAGTGACCTCATTATTGTTATGCAGCGCATATGCATTTGGTGCCTCCCCTTGTACCAATGTTTATGTGTTCAAATAAATAGCTAGATATTAATATCATGATTTATCTTTCTTCATAAAAAAATTCATAAAAGTTTTATGTATTCATTAAATGAAATATAAATATTTTTTATGTCATTACAAATAGTATTTCTATTCTGAATTGACTTATGATTGAATGCTTAATAGTGTAAATATAATAAGGACTTGACATATATGACATTGGTCACCACCCAGTGATCAATCAATTGTGATTACATCTCAGTCCTACAGGAAGTTGGTCGCGGCTCGGATAGCTCAGTGGTAACGTCTCTGACTGTGAAGCTGGGTGACACGGGATCGAATCCGTTAGGGAGCATCAGTTCCCTCAAGATTACAGGCACACCTTGCTGACGAGTGCCAAGTAGCACAAAACCCGGGCCCAGGGTCTCCTGTCGACTACCTCCAACCACCATCTAATCTTACAATAGTGCACGCAGTGTCGAATCACCTAGACTGGTGGCCACATTGCGTCATGGTCGATAGCGTTCGATCTGCACTAATAGTAAGGACTTGACACACATGACATTGCTCACCACCCAGTGATCAATCAATTGTGATTGAAAACATACTTTTGATCACTTGAATAAAAAAATGGTTGGATTTTCAGAATTTTAGTTCGTTTTTTTAAATGTTTAATTAATTTTATTAAAGGTTGATATAGTTATATTATGTGACATAAATTAGGATATTTTCGTAACGCATTTATATATTAAGCAGGCTAACAAGAAATATACATTTCGATAGTGTATTAATAAGATGATAATTATCAGAAGTAATATGATATATCAGTGAAATACATTTCGAACAATCTGAACACACGTAATATAATTGTTAAGACCATTTTGGGATAAAAATAAAAAGTCAATAAGACTAGAAATCAGTCATTAACAAAACGTATAACTCTGTAAAGATTATTATCAAGGAAAGAACTAGGTTCATGCTTCATCGAAAAGACATGAAAACAGTTGCGTCACATCCTACTGTGTTTAACAATCTAAATTTTTTCTGGCCATGCATACAAACATAGGGAAGAGTAATCGTGATCCTAAAATTACGGTATGTGAACATGTACCTAAATGGTTGTAGAACCAAATAAAATCAAATGACCCAATAATAGTAAAGAATAAACATCCAGAACTCTCTATTGCCAAATATATAATTGAAACACGTCATAAGATTGGTCTTAACCCGGCTTTTGTGGTGGAGATGAATTGTAGCTCAGGTTGGTGATTTTGATGGAGTTTTGTTCTCTGAGCTGGATGGTTCGGTCATGGAGCTTTCATCGTAAACATGGTAAACACAGTGGGATGTGACACAATTGTTTTCACGTCTTTTAGGTTTTTGACGTAGCATGGTCCTTTTTCTTTCCTTGATAATGACCTTTGTAGCGCTATACGTCTTGCTAATGGCTGATTTAGGCCTTAACCATACGGAAATTCAAACCCCCTTTTGTATTCAAAAATAATTTGCTCCTACATTAAACCTACCTTGGTAATATTAACTTATTATGCAGAGTGATAAGGTTTCAAATTGTGTTTTTTTCATATTATATTCACTATTATCCTTGTCTCCTCTTACCTTTCATTTCTATTCTAGTTGACCTTTTACTTTATACATAAATTTTCTGAACTAGTATTTATGTGCTCAGATTATTCTAAACGCAACACATAGTTCTGATAATCTTCGTCTTCTTCTTACACTATCGAAAAAATATACAGTTCATTTTGTACACGAAATAAGTCTTAAATTGAAATTGTTATGTCAATATTTAAAATATAACTGTAAGGATATTAAGGAGGAAGGATATATTTGTAAAAACTCAGCGATTGAATTTGAAGTAAATCCGATGACGTTTCAAAGAAAATCTCGTATCAAATTGTTTAACGAAACAGTGTATTCACTTCAAATTCAATCACCACGATTTTGTAAATATATTCTTCCTCTTTAATATCTTACAACTCAGCACCCAAATAATATGAATCTGTTCATTCAAATTTAAATGAAAGTTCTTGTATACTGTAACTGTAAATGTTTTAATGCAAAAGATCACTCATATACACTAGAAGATTATAACAACAATAAAATTAAGTACTAAAGGTTATGATTTGTTCATTAGTACCATTTGTATTAATTTAATTCATTTATTTACCTTTTACAAAAAAAGCTTACACTAAGTCACGAAATGTTGGATGCACTGGACGACCATTTCGTCCTATTTTCGGACTCCCCAGCAGTGCGCACCGACGATCCCACCTCGTGAGATTAAAACCTGGGACCTATCGGTTTTGATCCCACAATAGGACGTAACGGCAGTCCAGTGCATCCGGGTTTTCCATCACGGTCTAGCTTCAATTGACTCATGATCTCAACTATTAAAGTTACTATAATATCAGTAAAACCCCTTCTGACATTATTTATAGTTTAGTTTTTCTAAGAAATTAATTCACCTAATGCCAAATTTATTTGACATTATCATGTCAAATCTTAGTTATAATACTTATAATCAAAATAGAGATCCTTTAGATGGAACGTGTTATGAAAGTAAAGTAAACACTAAATGTGAACTAAAGAAAAAGAGATCATCTTTATAAAAAGAATCAATAATCATGATGACCATATACTTCAATCTATAGTTAATGAACTCATATGTAATAGGATTAAATAGAAAAGATTAAATAAAAGTGTTAATAAAGATTATTAAACCATCTTTAAAATCAATTTAATATAAAGCAATAAACTCTTATTTTCAGATTCAATTAGTTACATAATTAATATGTAGTGAACAAGAACATGAGTGGGGATAACCGAGTATATATGAACACGAAATCATAGAATATCTCACTAAAATCTAAGAACCATACAGTAAATCTTTAATTTGCAGAATGTCGATCGATTGTCTCAGATTTCCTTGTTTCTGCATTTTCATACCAATTGCTTTCCGTCCTCGTTTTTTCCTTCTCGATCTTCTATTGAAATACATTCTATTCCTGACTATTGTTATATATTACTTATATGTATATTAGTAGCGCACACCATAAATAATGTTCATATTTCGATGATTATACCAGTTCACTTTTAACATTAAACAATGAAACCATAAAATTAAGAGACATTTTTTTAAATAATTTTATTAGCTATTAAAAAAGCAATTC